TAGGTCCTATTCACATGGTTACAGTTGGTTTGTACTCATATGTTCGTATTCTAGGTCTATATTCACATGGGTTACTAGTTGGTTTGTACCTCCATAATGTTAGGTATTTCTAGGTCATATTTCCCATGGGTTAGAGTTGGTTTGTACCTCCATAATATTCGGTATTTCAGGTCATATTTCACATGGGCTACAGTTGGTTTGTACCTCCATAATATTCGGTATTTCAGGTCATATTTCACATGGGTTACAGTTGGTTTGTACCTCCATAATGTTCGGTATTTCAGGATATATTTTGTTTGTCCACAACTGAGATGTTTTACACACCAATGGCTGATATCTCAGTATATTTTTACCTGGATAACAGACAGTTTACACTATGGCTGATACTTCCGAACGTTCTTTGTCTGATTTAGAGTTTGCTGATATCCCAGGTATATGGAATGATAAAGGGGTTTTTCCTACATGGAATAGTTAGTTTAAGCCCGTCGTATGTTTGATATTTATATATATTTTGTGGGTTACACTTCATTGACGCAACCATAATTGATATGTTTGGAATATTAAATATTCTACGTTATGTTTTACCAGGCAACAGGTGATTTATATTTTTAGTATGTTTGATCTTTTAGGGCATTTCTCTAACCCAAGTATAATTTATATACATTATTATTTGGTTATAATCTTTTAATTTCCCCAAATATACTTGATAATTCAAAATATTTCTTGTTTTGCATGCAGTTGTAGTGCATACCAGTTATTTAATATTATAGGATTTTCTTATTTGAATTATAGTTGTTTTAATTTTTACATCTTAGGTTTCATTTGACTAGACTACAACGGATTTGTATTTCCAATATTTTTGTTATTCTTAGCACATTTGTTTTTGCCTAGAATACAGTTAGTCTACATCATAGCATAGAATATTTAAATACAATCTGGAGTACAGTTTGTTTACACCTACAATTAGTTGGATATTTTAGAGTATTTCTTGCCTAGAGTTACAGTTGAATTATACCCTAAGTATGTTTCGTGTCTCTGAATGTTTCTTGTTTGGGACACAATTAGTTGGCTTTGGACTTTACTTTGTTTATGTTTTAAGACGTTACTTATCTGAGTTGCAGCTAGTTTAAAATTCTTGTACAAATATTTTCCATTTTGGAAAGTTCTTTTAGCGCTGCGTGATTTTTTGTTCATAATTCCTTTCTTTTGCATGGGTTATAGTTTGTTTAAATTTCAAGTCTGATTGATATTTCAGGAATATTTTATCTAGGTTACTTTTTTTCCGTTCATATGTTGAATAATTTGATATTTTATGATATATTTTATCCTAGTCCCATAGCACTTTTGATATTTAACTCGTCTGGCTGGGTAACAGATGGTTTACATCCCTCGTGTAAGTTGGTATTTTAGAATATTTTCAACTAGTTTGTTTCGATGTTTCAAAATATCTCTTGGATTGATGACAGTTGATATACAAATTCAGGGTGTTTGGTATTTTAGGAGGTCTCTTTTCTGGACCAAGCTTTCTTTACTCCTTGAATTTACTTGATATTTTGATATTTTAGGAGGTCTCTTTTTCTGTACCAAGCTTTTTTTACTCCTTGAATTTACTTGACATTTTTGATTAGAGTTAACTTATTCTAACTGTAGGTTTGATATTTTAGGGTATTGTTTGCCTAGGTTACAGTTCGATATTTCAGGGTACTGTTTGCCTTGATTATTGTTCATTTAAATGCCCAATGTTTCATATTATAGACTATATTTATTGCCTAGTTTGCTAATTTATACTGCTACCATTTGATATTTTATATCACTTTTTTTCTCTAAGTCACTTCCCTGAAGGGACAGCGATAAGTCTTCGGATTTACAACGCTAAAATCAGCGGTTCGATTCCCCTCGGTAGACACAGCAGACAGCCAGATGTGGCTTTGCTATAATACGAAACACACACATATACACTCTAAGTCATAACCGATTTAAATTGCAAGTACTTTCAAAATTTTTGAAAAATCACTTGACTGGATTACAATTGGATTTCTTAGTGTGAGAGTTTTGTTTGTATGGACTACAGTTGTTTACTTTTTCAGTGTGCTTATTATTTCGAAAAATACTATGTGTCGATTATATCCAGTTAATCACTCCTTAAGTTAAATATTTCAAACATATTTTATGTTGGCTTATAACCACTGTATATTTCATATACGGATTATGGACTACACCCAATACGAGTAATGTTTCTATGGCGCTTGTCTCCAGAGTTATGTTCCAGTTACCCACTTGCATGTTGGATATTTAAGGACAAATGTTGCCTGGGTTACAGCTGGTTGTCATTGTTTTCATGGGAAATGTATTTCATACATTTCGTAATTGTTACTATTTTGTGCACTATGTATTTAAATGCTTTGTGCAATTTTAAATGTAGATTATTATATATATATATATATATATTTAATAACTTATATAAAGTTAATAAAAGTTAAATAGAGAGATAACTATTCAAATTACTCAATACAGAAAATACAACATTACATGTATATAAATATTAGTCGTTGAATAAAATCTTAAAAATAATTGAATTGTAGCTCAGTAACTGACGCACCCAAGGGTTTGAGAAATAACATAAGAGTGAACGAGTTCTAAATTAATCATGAATATTCTTTGATAGAAAGGCAGAAGACTTTCGAAATGTCGTTCTCTACACTTGTCTCTCTACAAGATGCAGTTGCCGTCCATTCTGCAAAGTTTAATCATGAATATATTTCTTAACTTTACAGTTTATGATTGCCTGTGTAGTATTTAATGATGGGATTCTCATGTAAAGAATACCATCTTAATTGCTATTTAAGTAAACTACGCTTAATATAGATTAAAAAACTGTTCTAAAAATATTCACGCTATAGGTAAAATTCTGATCATTAATAAACTTACCGTTTGTAGTCTCGGTTAACTTGGTATTTTCTTTTTCATGTTTGTTTATCCTAAAAATAATAATTGGAGTATGTTATTTAAATCTAGCACTAACTTGTTTTAGTTTGATGACTGCACATTTAATATGGCCGGAAAATTACTATAAGTAAGTGTCTTAAATGTTCACCTAATCCTCACTACTTTTTTTAAATACATTGATATTTTTGTCCTTGTCGTCGTTAAGTAAAAGGTTTAGTAAAATTCGCCATTTTCAGTCTTTTCAGTATTTGTTATATATTTAATAATAAAGATTACTTGGTTGAATCATCAAAAAGCTAGGAAAGATCCCACTCTGGTGTATTTAAGGTAGAATTGAAAATAAGCGAGTTCTTCTAAAATAAATTGTTACTGAAAAAAATATGCGGCCATTTTGATAAAATCACAGTACTCAAAAGAGAAAGGAACACAAATGAATCTTATCTGTAACCACAAATGTTAGATAAATGGTATAAGCCAAAAAAATAAAAAAAAATAAATGAATCAGTATGTGACACCTTAGATGTTTTTCTGGAGGAAAGAAAATGAATTAGCATTCTAACACTAGGTGGCTATTTTGTAACCCTTGAACACCTCATTTGATTTATCTAAAAGCTTTAAATATCACAAACGTAGTTTGAATATATGCATTTAGATACAAGCGCATCGCAACAAAATCACAGTTAGAAAATCTAAAACCTGAAATATGACATAAATGGAAACACCAATTCCGGGATTTTCTTGATGTTGACCAAGTTTTACTTTATCATAACCTTTTTTTTTCACGTGTTGATACAGAAGAAAAGTAGTTGATAAAGAACTGAGTTGACTTTATGGCTTTTATGGGACAGTAACTTTTAGGTTTTTGTAAAGTCATTTACAACAGATATTTGATGAACACTACAGGTAAGATAATGGATAGTTAAACAGTAAACTATACATTTCTTAGCTTTTGGTTTTCACACAGGAAGTTCGTTTATTTTGCGAGTAACATACAAATAAAGACGAACGTATTCGAAATCTCATGTTTAACAGTCGACAACGTAAACTAGAGCTTTCACGTGTTGACGTCATCTTTCCAGGAATTATTTGATGTACTAGAAAGACAAAAGGTTCACTAATAGTTTGACGTCATTTCCAACCAAACTACAAGCCACGCCTTTAGAAAGGCAAAACTATCAGAATAAAAAAAATAGTTAGCTAAGTGTTTTAACTTGTACACCCGTCTTTAAGAGTTCCAATCTTGTTCTCGGTAGACCGAATTTATTAGGAAGATCATTAAGTGAAAAGTAGGTTCTGTAACAACATCGTCAGTTGTTCTAGTTTCTTAGATATGGCAATCTAAGGCCAGAAAGTTATTTTATTGTATTAAATTTTCAACAAATCAGAAACAGTACTTGTATGACAAATGAAAATAGTAATGTGCCGTTATAAATTCTTTGTTTGTGTTCTTATGTTTCCTAAAGGCTATGATATAAATGTCAACTTGATCCATTGTCCACTAGTAAATATTTGATCATTATCGACTGACCTAGATCTAAGACTGTCGCTGTATAATAGTTGCTACGCCTGTGAAAATGCTTACTCTGCATTGCAATAAGGTATCAAAAGAGAACATCACAGAAGGGACGCAGGAAATCTGCTCCACAAACTATTCTAAATTTATCTGAGCATTTAATACAACTGCCATAACATCTGCGGCTTCAAATTCGCAAGGAATTATGGTTGATATATTTTTTTTACTGACTCTATTTCAAGTTGGACAGTTGTGTTACTTGATAATATTACTTGTACGTTGACTGTATGGTCATTCTATATATATTCTATATTAAAAGCAGTAAAGTAAAAATAGCAAAGCAGTTGTTTGGAGGATCTCTAAAAATAAACAGGGTATCATACGTATATCACGTGTAGTTTGTAAAGTACGATCACAGGATAAAATACTGACTAATTCGTTTTCTTTTCTTTCAGGAAATCACTTTGTCGTAATAGTTTAATAAATAAACAAAAATACATTATAGCAATCGTTAATGTAGAAATGTAAAATATAGCTAACTTAATCAGAATTTAAAAAGATTTATGCAGGGGTGTGGCAAGTTGTCCACATACGTAGTCTTGTCTATTTCGCGTGTATGCTTTCCATATATGTAACTTAGGAAGCCAGAGCTGGTAGGCTGAAAGGCTCTTATCTCGTTTGTACGAATAAAGGGGAATGGTTAGTCAACCTTTCAAAGTCTCATCCATATTAGTAAGCTGAAATATGCCTGATCCTATCTAAGAATAGCCAAAACTATATATAGAAAGCTGATTTTAAGTGAATGTCGTAGATTTGCTCAGAAATGATAAATACTTCCCCTAACACTCAGGCACTGACACATTGGATAGAATATTTTCTTTGATGGCGTGAAAATGTCTAAGCTTTCAATTCCGGTCAAGGAGAAAAAAAATATTTTCTATTTCGTTTTTATTACTCTATAAAGAAAAAGTAGATGGGTGAATGTGAAAGTAAAAAAAAAAAAGGGACAATAACAAAAAAGGGGAACCATGTTACCATATAAAATATTAAATAAGCTTCTGAAACCATTTATTCGCGGATATATTATAATGGGCTGTGTGTAATAACGAAAAAAAATCCTAAATTGTAAATTACATATTTTTTTTTTATAAAAACAAATACACAAAAATGCACGAGTTGAAATCTTCCATTTTTGCCGAAAGAGCAAATAATAGAAACAAACCATTACTTTCCATATTGAACAAAATGACTTTCATGTAAGCTATTCGTAAGCAAAAATAATATCGTTACAATTTTCACTGACCACGATTTTGTTAAAAAATTTAATGACTTATTTCTAGCTGTGAAATAAAAAGGTAAAAAAAGCGAGTAGACGCCAAGAAGGAGACTGGAGTTTATTGATTTCTCTCACTACCATGAAACGAAGGGTGACCAGACAGTACTATATGTGGGGGCGGATCGAGTGAGAGTAATTCTGTTGTCAGTCTACGTAATATATTCTGTGTAACAAAGATAAAGTAGTTAGAAGTTTATATATAAAATGGACAAGTGTTCTATCTAATCCATTTAGAGCGTAAGCTGAGTGTCTGAACGTTACAAACCGTCCAAGAAAAGTACTACGGAGAAAACATACCAACTTAGTAAATCTTACAAACACTACTGAGAAAACATACCAACACTTTAAAGCTTTACAGACACTACGGAGAAAACATATCAATACCTTAAACTTTACAAACACTACGGAGAAAACATGTCAACATTATAAAACGTTACAAACACTACGGAGAAAACATACCAACATTATAAAACATTACGAACACTACGGAGAAAACATACCGACATTGTAAAACCTTAACAGCACTAAATAAATGCTACTAACATAATAAAGACCTATAAGTACTATGAAGAAAGCCTACAAACATCATAAAGATCTATAAGTACTACGGAGAAAGCTACAAACATCATAAAGATCTATAAGTACTACGGAGAAAGTCTACAACCATCATAAAGATCTATAAGTACTACGGAGAAAGCCTAAAAACATCATAAAGATCTATAAGTACTACGGAGAAAGCCTACAAACATCATAAAGATCTATAAGTACTACGGAGAAAGCCTACAAACATCATAAAGATCTATAAGTACTACGGAGAAAGCCTACAAACATCATAAAGATCTATAAGTACTACGGAGAAAGTCTACAAACATCATAAAGATCTATAAGTACTACGGAGAAAGCCTACAAACATAATAAACATCTAAGTACTACAAAGAAAACTTACCAGCATTGTAACACCTTACAAACACCACGAAGGAAAACTACCAACACTGTAAAAAATGTACGAACATACGGAAAACAGCTAGTAACATTATAACACCCTACAAACACCAAGAAAAAATAATATCAACATTGAAAAATCCCACTAGAATCGCCAAAAAATAAGAATAAATATAAAAGCTCTGAAACACTAAGTAAGACAATCAACGTCAACTGGTATACCCAGTGAATATGGCTGAAGGAGTTACTTTTGAATATGGCTGAAGGAGTTACTTTTTCTTTTGTGTCTTTAAGAAGCTACTGAACACAAGGCAGAGAGGCTTCAATACAGTGCATAAGTGTAAAAAACAGCATTTATAGCTCTCTAGGGTCAAAAAAGTCTGTCTTCTAACAAGACATGATGAATGCGACCAGTTGGTGTTTTGACAGAAGAAGAACGAAACCTAAAGGGACCGGTCTCGGAGTATCAATAGATATCAGTCATAGCCACTGGTGAATGACTCAGTAACTTGCGCTATTGAATCTAATACACCTGTGTATTGTGAACAAATTTATCCCTCTGCCAATCTTTTTTTTTAAATCTATCTCTTATAGTATAAGGTTAACGTACAGCTAGAATTACTAAGTTTTATATTTTAATATTATTCTTGCTTTTTGTGTAATGATAAAGAATCCGATAATTAAGTATAAGGAAATAGGTGCTGAAGAAAATAAACAACGTAGGTTTGTTCGTTTGTTTACACAAGTCTACACTGAGTACATAGCCTAACCTAATTTTGGAGTAATAAACTAGAGCGAAGGCAGCTAGTCAACAGCACTCATCGCCAGTTTTGGGATCTTCTTATCTGACAGAATAATGGAATTTGACTGTCACTCCTATAACGCAGTCACGGGTTCGGAGTTCGTTTCTGTGGCAACAGGATGCAGAGCTTGAACCATCAGATTTACAATATAATCACGCTAACCACTAGGGCCACATCATAACTTTTGTCTATGAATGTCATTTATACGTATCATAATAATATATTCTGGTTATAAAAGTACAAAGGGGTTTATATAACTTATTCTTTACTAGCTAATATTACAATATAGTATGAACAATGGATAAAACATAAGTTGCTTCTCAAATTAGCTAATGGCGGATAAGTCACCAGATGTCAGTAATGTGTACTGTTTCCGTTCATTACAACATATGGACATCAAATGTTCTACTTTACGTTCTAAGAAGAGAGCGTTCAACA